ATTGTGTCATATGAACTGGTCATTTAAAAACCAAAATCATGTTGAATTTGATGAGTTGGTTTCTGTTGACCATGATTTCAGATGAAGTGTAAGTCCTCTAGTTTATTCTTCTCGCCACATCCTATTTCTATAAAATTGTTTTGCCTTGAGCAGCCCAAGTTTTCCAGTTTTAACTGCTCTACCAAAGAGCATGATGCAAACACAGGAGAATTTGTATCAGAAGTTTCAGTATCTTGAAACTGGAATGTGGATGATTCATGAGTTTTGCATCAATTATTTAACAGTCATAGATGAAGATACACAGCGATGGATGGGGCAGTAACGTATTCTGGTTATACCTACTGGCTTAGCAGTGATAAATGAGTCAGGAAACCAGAAGTTCAAAACAGGCATCAACTCGAGCTGCAATGGCAAAGGCTCTGAAATGAGTTAGACAGTTGCTAGATATAAACAACCTACTATATAGACCAGCGGGCTGGCAGGATTAAAATAAAGATAAGGACTTAGCAAGAGGACTAAGGAATTTCAGAATCCTGCTGTACCAATCACCCATTTTCTTAAAAGATTCTTGAGGGCAGCATAACACCAATAATGATAACACTTGGAAAAACGGGAGACATTTTTATTAGCTGGAACCATGCCTGATATCCCATAAATACTGTCTTGGATCACGTGGCTTAGACTTGAGCCTGAATCTGTGTGTGTGTGTGTGTGTGTGTGTGTGTGTGTGTGTGTGTGTGTGTTGTGTTTCTTTCCCCTGTGCTTGGCTATTCCAAATCCCCACACCTGGCCTCAGTGTTATGTTCTGATTGGGTCACAGACTCCATTGCACCATGTTGCCTGGACACATGCTCTCTAGTAGGCATTGTTCCTTTTATCTTTCTCCTTCCATGATACACATTTTTGTATGTGATAAATATTCTATGTGCATGTCTATGGTTCCTCATGGTTTAAAATGTGCTATAACATCCAGCCAGCCGGTGTGGTTCAGTGGTTGAGTGTTAACCTATGAACTAGGAGGTCATGGTTCCATTCTGGATCAGGGCACATGCCCAGGTTTCAGTCTCAATCCCCAATGGGGGGCATGCAGGAGGCAGCCAATCAACGATTCTCATCATTAAGGTTTCTATCTCTCTTTCCTCTCAGAAATCAATAAAAATATATATTTTTAAAAAGTACTATAGCTTCCAAGCAATAATTGCCTTTAAGAAGGGTCTTGGGACAATGCCTTAACCCAGTGGTCGGCAAACTCATTAGTCAACAGAGCCAAATATCAACAATACAACGATTGAAATTTCTTTTGAGAGCCAAATTTTTTAAACTTAAACTATATAGGTAGGTACATTGTTATTAACTTAATTAGGGTACTCCTAAGGCTTAGGAAGAGCCACACTCAAGGGGCCAAAGAGCCGCATGTGGCTCGCGAGCCGCAGTTTGCCGACCACGGCCTTAACCTGAAGGTATTACTCTCATGGTAGGGGCTGTCGGTGTCATGGTAGTTGGGGCCCAGTGGTCTTTCCTAACAATTTTTTAAAACTCTATTTTTACTGATATTTTTCAGAGAGGAAGGGAGTGGGAGTGAGAAATAGAAACATCAATGATGAGAGAGAATCATTGATTGGCTGCCTCCTGCATGCCCCACACTGGAATCAAGACCGCAATCTGGGCATGTGCCCTTGACCGGAATTAAACCTGGGACTTTTCAGTCCACAGGTGGACACTCTATCCACTAAGCCAAACCAGCTAGGGCTTTCCTAACAATCTATAATAATGAAAGCGTAATATGCTAATTAGACCGGACGACCTTCCAGACTAAGCTGCGGCACCGTGGGGCCATTGCAGAGGCAGCTGCCGCAGCTGCAGGGTCCAAGCCCCTTGCACAAATTTCGAATTTCATGCATCAGGCCTCTAGTTTGTAAAGAATATGGATAGCATGCACATGTGAAAGAACATTTTAGCAAATACAAAAACAATGTATTCTTTTCTAAAGGCTGAGGGAATAGTGAGTAAAAATAGATGCACCAGGCAGAATTTATTTGTAGAGGCTTGAGTGCAGATGATTATTTTTGAAGATGGTGATAGAAACATCGTGGAGTGGGGTGGAGTGGTGCACGTTTTAGTTGAAGTGACTTGGAGGGCAGGGACCTTGAAGCTTGTGTCCTCCATGAAGCCTAGAAGAATGCTTTGTGCATCCTGTACAGTGATGAGTAGTGTAAATAAATGAACAGATCCATGCCTGAGAATTATTGATTTAAACAATATATCCTACCTTGTTTTGACCTGTGTGGATCTTAAAGGGAGAAGAAGGACATTTTCACAGAGAGTCTGGGCACAAAGGCAATGTATACGGCAACTGAGAAAGAGAGTTTTGTTTCCCTTGGAGTGACATTTTCTTGGAAACTGAGCCAGAGGCTGACCTGGGGAAAAGCTGCTTGACTCTTCTGATACCCAACTTCCCAAAAGGAAAAGCCCATCCTTTAGTCCTCAATGCGTGGACCCTGCCACCCACCCAGAACTCCGTGTTAACATTGCTGGGAGCGGAAGGACGTGAACTGCACTTAAGTAGCCTCTTAGCCCTAGAGACAGGAGTGGGGCGCTGTTAACCCCCAGGCCTGGTCTCCCCTCTACCCTCTCATTATTCCCCACTACCCTTTTCTCTGGAACGCGTTTGTGTCCTCAGCAGTTTGAGGGCTCTGACTCACTCCTTAGTACCCCACAGAAGCCTGAAAGAAAAAAGAAATGGCCTCGTCTTCATTAGGTTCCACCCAAGTCAGGAGTCTCCGTGAATAACCCCACTGCTCACCACTCATTGAAAAGCCAGTAGCAGTCCCTAAGAAATGTATCCTAGCACTCGAGTGCTTTGCGGAGGCAGGGCAAACACTAAGCAGCCGCCTTCCCTCCTCTGTACATGAGCGTGCTTTGCTAAGATGCACCAACTGTGACAAAGAAACGTGGGCAAGTAATTCACTTGAGGTGGTTGGCTCCCCAGCCCTGCTGGGCTTCCTTCCTCCTCAGTGGGCACTTGTTCGAGAAATGGGCCTCCTCCGCTTGCATTAGGAACTGGATAAGCGCTCGCGTATTTCATGTTTCCTTGAGGTCGCATTCATTTGGAGGGCTCTTCCTGAAGGAGCGGACTAGATCTCTGGTTGAGATCATCAGGAAGGAATGGGGTGGTCTTTTCTGAAGGAAGACTATAGACCAGGCGTCACAAGCTGGTGACTCACACACCACATTCAGCCCACAGAAAAGATTACATACTTTTAATGTCCTGGTGTTGAAAAAAAGAATTAGTTGCCCATATATAAAATTGAAGAGATTTTGCATAAAAATCTTGATTTCCAACTTCTTTGAAAAAGATCAGAATATCTGCCAACGCTCGCAATAGTTGATGGCCACAGTTGGCTTAAGCCGAGCGGCCACTTGTCCCCTAAGAGAGGACACAAGCTTCCTACTGCATCTGGTTTTCTTCACTCCATTTTACCTAGTGCTCCTGTAGAGCTTTAAATTTGCTGTCCTGGGGTCAGTCGCCTAAGAGGCCCAAACAAATCATGAATTGCCCAGGCCGGGTGGTTCAGTTAGTTGGAGTGTCCCATACACCAAAAGGTTGCAGGTTCGATCCCAGGTCGGGTCATACACAGGAAGCAACCCATCAATGTTTCTCTCTCTCCCTTCCTCTCTGTCTACAGTCAATAAAAAACATATCCTCGGGAGAGGATTTTTTTTTTAAAAAAAAAGCAATCATGAATTGCTCTTTTAAATGTGCCCAGCCTGAAAGTGACTATGGTTTATGCCTTTTTCTTTTTCCTTCTACACAAAGGATGACCATTAAGAGCATTGTCATATGTGGAACAGGACAGTTATGTGCAAAGTGGAGAATTGTACACTACTTACCTGAATAAGTCAGGCATACCAAGAAAATCCTGAAACGATGATATTAATGTAAGATTTGAGATGTGAATTATTCAGGGGCAATTGCCTTCGTTTCCCAGCTCACTGTTTCCCCTCTGCTTTTCTCACATGGACATAATCTTCAGAATGTTCCTCTGTCAAAGGCCATGGTCATAATTCCCCTCCCCCACCACCACCCCCCCCTTTTTTTAGAACTTATTTGAACTCTCAGGAGCAATTGTTGAAGCCCTGCAAGGGAATAATTGCACAAGAATTAACCTCTGACATGTTTCTAAAAATAGCCCTAATAAATCCCATCATAGGTAATTTACCTGTCCGTATTCCTCCGGGGGTAACCGGCGTTGAAGAAAGACTTGGCAGGCTGGCGTTCGCTCGGCAATTATCGGTGATCTGAGTTCCTGGCGCCTGTGTATTTTCTCTCTTGGGAAACACAGAGGACAAATTGCTCTCTGACTTCCCCTTTGACTCATGACCGTTTCCCCAGCACCCTTCACCTGGGGTTGGAATAAGGCGTGCTCTTCCAGAAAGGAGTGTTGGGCTCACCAAAAAAAGAGGTACCACGGGGTCAAGCTGGAGCATTTGTGAGGTTCTTCCATGAGTTTCCAACTTGCAAAGGTTGCCAGTGTTTTTCCATGTCTGAGCTTCAGGCGTCCCCAGCCCTCATTTGCATAGCCACCACGGAAACCTGTTAGGGAAGTACCTCGGTATAGAAGAAAAGGAAATGCAAAGAGGCCAGGAGTGGGTACAGGCTCCATGGCTGGTAGAAACTTTTATCAAAGAGTATGGCCATTTCCATGAGCCTTAAGGAAACTCATTTTCTCTTGCCCAACATAAAAGGGTCTGAACGTGCTTCTTCCTTTTGTTCTCGCCAGATGTTCCAGGAGACCACAGCGCAGTGTGGGCATCTAGGAAATGTACTTTCCCAAGAGCCGCTTCTCGCGGCACTTAAAATACAGAACATAAAGCCCTTGTAAATTCCACTGCAGAGACAAAGCCCTGAGCCCTTAAATGCACAGAAAAGTGTGTCTATTATCTGACGTTTCAAAGCAAGTGTGCAGTTACTTAAATTGCCTTTGTCTTCTTCTTTTCAGCTGACATTATCTCTACGGTAGAATTCAACCACACGGGAGAATTACTAGCGACAGGGGACAAGGGGGGTCGGGTTGTAATATTTCAACGAGAGCAGGAGGTAAGTGGCAAGTGACTGCAAAATGCCCCTTTCCTTCCCTTTTTAGCGGAGGCCTCCTGCTGTTCCTTAATCCTCACGTGTCCCCCTTCACCTTGCTGCTTTGCTAGCCAACTAAAAACTGCCAAGAAGTCATTAACATCAACCGTTCCACCTTCCGGCTCATGAAAGCACCTGAAAATAGAGCCTTTCCTGGGCACGGCCTTATCTTTTCACGTTCTCACGTCTCCTCTGACCTGCAAAATGCCACGGGTGCTTTTTGAGCATAACTCCTCCCTTCGGAGTGAAATTCATCCTGGAGTGATTAAAATGAAGCCTCTACTCCTTTCAGGGGCTCTCACAGAATATGTAGTAGGAAGAAACGGTTCTTTGTCCACAGCTGTGAAAGGGACAACTTGGGTCAGTGGAGAAGAAAATGGTAGCTCACCCCACCAAAGGGAGTGCAATCCCACAAAATGACATCTGAGCGATGCACAGGGCACACACTTTACTGTGGGTGACTCGAAGGTCCCTGGAGCTGAGTGCTGTGTGCTTTCCGAGCAGGAGTTTTAATTTCCACTGAATCTCAAAAAGCCCCTTTCTTCCTGGGACTTGGGTTCCACTAGGAATTGTGTCTCTTTTTCATATAAATTGCGTTTCGGGGTGTCTGCTTCTGCTTTGTCAGAAGGGAAGCATGGCCCGATGTGATTGCTTTGGCTTCCCCTGGCCTGGTCCTGGGGCTCCCAGCAGGCCAGCCTGTGTGCTAGTAACGCTCCCATCTGCTACCGTCTGCCTCCGAGACTCACCCAGCACAGCGTGGGGAGGCCGAGTGCAGGAGGAAGGGTTCAGTGGAGACTTCCCTAGCAATTGAGTGCCTGCTTTGTGCCTCCAAGCCATTTATGTTCCACCTCCCCTCAAAAAAGGAAAGCCTCATTTAGAGGTGATGTATTTGGTAATTGCACATTATTTGCAATTAATTTCTATAAGGGCATCCTAATCCCCCGGGGTTCTGTAGAAATTCAAGTGTTCAGCATGAAGTCAGGCACCCAGCCTGTTCCACTGGTCCTGGAAACAGGGAAATGGGCTTGGCAAGTAGGAACTAATAGCTCTTCGTGACCTGGAATTTTTCCTGCTTTTCCAGAGCTGCCGAGTGCTAATTGGTCTGGCACATACGTCACACACTTGACAGTCTGATTTGGATGGTACCAAATCAACATTCGGATGAATTTATTGTTAAGGTGGACTGGCGCTCTCCGCAGTAGGCAGGCTGGTTACATGTCTGTCAGTCAGCGTGGCAAGTCCTCTTCAAGCTGATTTTCAAACTTTCTTCTTCAATTTGAAAAAAAAAAAATCCCATTAGGTTCATGGTGATGATAAAGAGGAACCGGAGGAGCTATTTAGCATAAATTACCCAGGGCAGCGTGTTGCCAGTAATATTCCAAACCACATTTTCCCTTTGCTATTTATAGGTTCCACCTATTTTAATTTACTGGAATATGTGGGAAGCCTGATTCATTAGTAGAATGAAGGGGGGCACGTTTTCCCAAGAAGAGTGATTTGGTTCAATAAAAAATAAATGTCCAGTATAATAACACGCAGTTGAGTGTTGAGCTCCGTGGGGAGGCGTGGGGTTGAAATGGGCACTAAGCCTCAGAAACGGAGCCATGGGACAACACCGGGGTCAGGTGTTTTCCGTGTCTGGGAGTGACTTCTCAAGAGCCGCAGTCCTGGAGGGCTTGCTGTAAGGAAGGAACCTCAGTGCCCTCACAAATACATGGGACACCTGGGCGTCAGCACCCATCAGGAAGTGAAGATTTGGGTTTGGATATTCAGTACCCAGAAATCTAGTTGTTGTTTTTTTTAATTGAGCCTTTATTACGAGTCAAGCTTTTGTGACAAATGTCTATAAAGACCTGGATTGGAATTTTTGAACACAGTTTTCCAAAACCTGACCCTTAAAACTCTTGGTAGTCACGTTCTAAAATGCCTGAAACGAAACCGCCCCTCCCTCTTTTCCTTTCTGCTCTTTCTTTGTTTCACGCCCTCTTTTTCCTTCTCTCCGCCTTTCTTCTTTCCGTTGCCCCTTTCTGCAGACCCTTCCCCTGATGTTTCATTCTCTCACCATTTATTTAGCTCCTGCTGTTTGCCTGTTGCAGAATCAGAGCTAGGAGAAAGCCAGGGGTGAGGTCTCATCACCTCCCCATGATGCAGGTGTCACCCCTGTGCTCCTGTCTGTTTTCCATGTTAGAAAAAAAGGGGGGAGGGATCTGATGCCCAGATCTGCTCCTTAGAAGTCCTGTGACCTTGGAAGATATCTCTGAGCCTCCTTTGTCCATTTCCCTGCTCTTCCCACATCTCCAAGATTCTCTGAGACTCTGGGGAGACTTTAAAAGGCCAATGAAAGGTACAGATGCCATAGCTTTGCACTCTTGGTAAGGGATTGATAGACGTACATATGGACATCAGCATGGGTCCAAAGGGTGTTCAAGACATCCACTAATGCAGAACGAAAATATTAGAACTTCTGTTTATATTGATTTTTAAATGTATATTCATTTTAAAATCATGTCCTAGTTTAACTTCTGTTTCTATGTATATGTTACGATGTATACCATATATTATAGAATTTTATGTATATCATTTAGGCCTATATGGATATTGGAGGTACTAATAGTCACCAACAGCTGCAAGATCAGATGCTTTGGAGGCCTGTGAGCTAAGGCAAAACTTGTGGCTCTCATGGTCCTGCCCTCATCCCATGCTGATGGCCTGCCTATCCATCCCTAATGATTCTGCTCAAAAAAAAAAAAAAAAGAAAGAAGAAGAAATTGGTGAATTCACAGGTGGCCTATGTGATTTAATCTTTCGTGTATTCCCCTCCCCCCGCCTTTTTTTACAGAGTAAAAATCAGGTTCATCGTAGGGGTGAATACAATGTTTACAGCACGTTCCAGAGCCATGAACCCGAGTTCGATTACCTGAAGAGTTTGGAAATAGAAGAAAAAATCAATAAAATAAGATGGCTCCCCCAGCAGAATGCAGCCTACTTCCTTCTGTCTACTAACGGTACGTACAAGTGACTGCTCCTATTTGGTATTGTCAGAGATAGAAGCAGCCACATCATAAGTTTCAGTCTCTCTTAGACTCCATTTTCCTTCTTAACCTTGTGGGCTGTCAAAAAAACTTAGCAACAATCTTTGCAAGATGCTTACCTTAGTGCCTGGCGCAGAGTGGGCCCTCAGTGAATAGAAGTGATTCTTTTTAAATATCACACATTTCTGACCCAATTATGTGAGCCCCAGTATCTGCAGTTTTTGACTAATGCAGATTATTTCCAGGTGCTTCTGGAATGTGACTTCCTGTTTTAAGATTCATTGAATGTTTTTCTGGGAACGCATTTCAGGAACCCCGGACAGGCTGTCCTGTGAGTCTGGCATACTGAGTAGAAGTTATTAATCCCTGAATGTGTTTGGGGTTTTTTCTCTCTCTGACACAATCAAGCTCTCTGAGCACAAGTCAAGGAGAGAGAGGGACCCTACCAAAGGATGATTAAGAAGTGGTTTCTTTCTCTTTCTCCCTCCATGCTCTTCTAAGAGCAATTGTTGATTTCGGGAGAGTTGCTATAAATAGATCCAGGAGAGAGGAGGTTGGGGGTTGACTAGAGAGCCAAATTCCATGCTAATTCAGTGGAATTACCTACCCTAGCATTTCTCAATGCCATTGCTGACAGAAGCCCACCTATGCTTGAAACAATTTAGAATAAAAGCATATACTAAAGGGTGCTAATTGAATAGCATAGCAATTAAGAGGATTAGTGGATACAAATTAAACACCCTCTCCCAAGCAAATAAGCTGGAGCCTGATTCATTGTGTGTGAGTCTGTGAGAAGTGTACATTTAAATATGGGTCAGAAAGCGAGGGATTCGCTATTTGCCCATCCCCAGCATTTATAAAGGGAAGTGCGCATATGTCAAGTGAAAAAAATGTAAATACTGTATAGTATGATCAGACATATATTAACATTTTTAAAGACTAAAAGGAAACATACCTAAAGGCTTATCATGATTAATTTTTGATTATGTATTATGGGTTTCTTATAAATTTATTCTTTTTATCACTTTATTTTCTAAGTTTTGATGATGAGTTTTATATTTTATTTTAAAAGGAGGGAGGGGTTTTCTTAATGCGTATGAACCAAAAATCCCTCAAATATGAAACCAGTATACAACTGTAAAAAAAAATGGCAATTCTGAAACAGCCAGTTTGGAGTTATTCACGCATGGCTTATCTCAACATGTCCAGATTTCCAGTCATCTGTTTTTCCAGATTCCAAGTAATTTAATTCTTTCTCATAACTGTATTTATTGTTCTATTAATTTTGTGAACTATGTTTCTTGAAAGCCAAACCATATGAATTTGTTTCAATGTCTTCCCTCTTAGTTTTACCGTTGAATTTCACTCAAAGGCTCTGCAGATTCAACACTACTTAGATTAAAAAAGACTTCTGATGATTCCGACTTAATTACTTTGGGCAGAGAAAGTGTCTGATTATCTGCTCTAGCTAGCTTACTTTATATTATGAAATTTAGCCTATTGATTATTACAATAAAATTCAAAGATGCATTAACTCCTTTGTGGGGGGGGGGGATGGGAAAAAATCAGTGAAATGCAATGAAGATTAATTATATAGCATAATGTTCTGTTAATTGAGTTTTTAAATAGTTTTTTGATTAACAAGGATATTATCTTCCCATTTGGGATGCTATTTCATATGCCAACAGCATCTCCAAATGATTCTTATAAGAAAAATTCCCACGTTCTCCTGGGATTTTCTTTTTTATACTAATATTGAGGTTGAGAATTCCCCTTAAGCCAAATAGGTTAACATGCGAAAATTAATGGGAGACAATTGGAATTACTGTACAAAAGAGAAAATGAAGATAGATGATAAGATTGTGTTTAAAAGCTGCCACAAGTAATGATAAACTACTCAGAGAGCCAGCCAGAATATAGAAAAAGTCATTACTCATAGTAACAGCCACCTGTTTGTTCCTCACACGTCCTTATCCACAAAGCTTTCAGATAGGGAGTCAAGAAACACTGTGTGATAATAAAGTCAAGAATGACTCCAGGCAACCCAACCATGGGGAATTGGATTGAATTCGCCATCAATTATCTTTTTTTAAAGAAACACAACTGTGCTTATCTCATTATAATTGGATACAGTTTTTACTTTCTGTTAGAATATAACTTTACAATTTCTAATGAAAAATAAACCAACATTCGGTTGTGAATCTAGACCTTAAAATTATTTGCGAGATGAAAAGATGTTGCCTTGCCTAGCTTTCTATTTCTGTCTTAGTACCTATGATTAGAAGGGAAGGTATATTTTACTTGATAGATGGGCTATGAAAATAGTTAGGTGTTCATTGCAAAACCATTAGAAAATAGAGAAGCAAAATGAAAATAATGTGTTCCCATCCAGAGAGAACCACTGTGTCTTTTAAAGAAAACAGCAAAGAGGCATGGATAAATCTGTTTTTTATTAGCAGAAATGTGGTATATTCTGTACACTGTTTGACAACCAGATTTTTTTATGTAATACTTAATAACAGGAATATCTTCCTAACTGTTAAATATTCTTCTAAAATTCCATAACATTTTCAAGGACTGCATAGCATTCCCCTGTATGATTCTTCTATAGTTTACTAATATCTCCCATTATTAGACCTTTAATTATTAAATTCTCACTATTAGAAATTATATATTTATAGGAATAGATGTTGGAATAGATAGATATGATTAGAAAAAAACATACTCATAAACTATGTATAACATGTTGTATCTATTTAAAACAGTTATGTGATTGCTCACAGAAATGAAAGGACATACTAAGGTTTTCATACTAGATATCTCTGTCTAGTGCAGTGGTTTTCAACCTTCTGGCCCTTTAAATACAGTTTTATTGTTGTGACCCAACCATAAAATTATTTTCGTTGATACTTCATAACTGTAATGTTGCTACTGTTATGAATCGTAATGTAAATATCTGATATGCAGGATGGTCTTAGGCGACCCCTGTGAAAGGGTCGTTCGACCGCCAAAGGGGTCACGACCCACAAGTTGAGAACTGCTGGTCTAATGGAATTGAGGGAGATTTTCATTTTTTTACTTTTATGCTCATTTTTATTTTCTACAATCCTATCCTATATAATAAAAGGGTAATATGCAAATTGACCCTAATGGCGGAATGACCTGGAACAACCAGTCGCTATGACACATACTGACCACCAGGGGGTAGAAACTCAATACAGGAGCTGCCTCACCCCACCCACCCCTCCACTCCCTGTCAGTGCACTCCCACAGGGGGAGCTCTGCTCAGCCACAAGCCGGGCGCAGCGGTGGTGGCAGGAGCCTCTCCCGCCTCCTCAGCAGCTCTAAAGATGTCCGACTGTGGCTTAGAAATGGGTCTAAGCTGTAGTCGGATATCCCCCGAGGGCTCCCGGGCTGCCAGAGGGATGTCTGACTGCCAGCTTAGGCCCGATCCCCAGGGAAGCGGGCATAAGTTGGCAGGTGGACATCCCCTGAGGGGGCCCAGAATGCAAGAGGGCACAGGCCGGGCTGAGGAACCCCCCCCCCCAGTGCATGAATTTTCGTGCACCGGGCCTCTAGTTATATAATAATTATACACTTGTATAATAAAAAGAAGGAATTAAAATGAGAAAATAAACATATATATGTAATATTATTGGTTTTTATTTCTCCCACCAAAAAATGCATAGAAAAAAAAATACTAAGAGGATCTATGCAAAATGTTAACAATGATTGTCCCTGACTGAAGAGATTATAGGTGATTTTTATTCTTTTTTAAAATATATTTTATTGATTCCTCACAGAGAGGAAGGGAGAGGGATAATTAGAAACATCGATGAGAGAGAAACATCGATCAGCTGCCTCCTGCACACCCCCCACTGGGGATGTGCTCACAACCAAGGTACATGCCCTTGACTGGAATCGAACCTGGGACCCTTCAGTCCGCAGGCCAACACTCATCCACTGAGCCAAACTGGTCAGGGCGATGATTTTTATTCTTTATGCTTTACCTATGATTTCTCTATTTCTCTACAGAGCAATTATCACTCACAAGAAAAATGTAAGGAAAGAATTGCCTTGCAAATGGGATGGGATGCATTCCAAAGGCAAGCAATTGAAAGTATTTGGTGTTTAAAAGTCACTGATTTGCATTCTTCTAAGTCACAGCTGATCAGTACCTAATCAAGTGACTGTATAAATATGGCCCGTATTTCCTTTTTGTCACAGTTCCATGTGTAGCAGGATATCCAGAGAGGGCAGGACTAGAGGAGTGCCAGCACATAGTGCCTGGGAAGGCCTTCCTGGCCCTTGCCCCAGGATAGCCGGTGCGTTCACAGATCTCACACGAGCAGCCTGGCCAGGCTGCCAGCAGCATGACCAGCCCAAGTGACCCCCAGACCTTAGGAAACAGAGGCACTTACTTGTTCAATTGTCCAAATTGTTGCAGAAAGCCCACTTCCCAATGGGGTGTGTTTCAGACCTCAAAGGACAAGGCTTTGGTGAGGGGAGATGGAGCAGGGGGGTGGGGGCGAGAGAGAAGGGGAATCCTAGGGAAGACGGAGAGGGCGGCTTCTCTCCCCAGACAGTCTTACACAGAGGACGTAGGATGTGCTGACATCATCCTGGGGGAAGCTAATGCCGTCAGCGCAACAAGTTGTTATTGCAGAATAGTTGCCCAACTTGCTCATTCTAATAAAAGTTGCCATTGTGAACCACTATTAGAAGCCCGACACTGCGGTACACACTGTACCCACAGTGTTTCATTCAATCCTCATAAGAGCCCCGTGAGGAAGGCCTGGCTTTCCTTAATTTACAGATAAAGAAACTGAGGCAGCCCTAACCAGTTTGGCTCAGTGGATAGAGCGTTGGCCTACAGACTGAAGGGTCCCAGGTTTGATTCCGGTCAAGGGCATGTATCTTGGTTGTGGGCACATCCCCAGTAGGGGGTGTGCAGGAGGCAGCTGATCGATGTTTCTCTCTCATCGATGTTTCTAACTCTCTATCCCTCTCCCTTCCTCTCTGTAAAAAAATCAATAAAATATATTTTTTTTAAAAAAGAAACTGAGGCACTTTATTTGTAAGGTTAGAATATTCGGGACATATTTGTACTGAAAAAATTACACGTTATCTGAAATTCAGATGTAACTGTGTGTTCTGTAGTTGTTTCTCTGCTCAATCTGGTAGTCCCATTTGTTTGTCACTCAAGAAATACTAGTTAGGCGCCTGCTGGGTGGGGATCACAGTGCTGGGCCACGTGGCTGGCTGGAGTTGGCGTGGGGACGGGGCTGAGGTTGTCTGGTTCCACACTTACCTTGTGCAGGCATAGAGAAAGATTTGAGAAGGCACCGAGCCCCTGCCTTCCAGAAGAGAAGTTAGAACAAGTACAACTTATGAATGCAGGATCTGATAAGGAAGGCTCCCAAAGGCCCGCAGCCCACAGGCATGATCTGTTTGGCCCGAACATGTTTCTTTCTAAAATGGAATTGAACGTCTGCAGGTGGGGCATGCGGTCTCTACCTCCCCCAAAACCCCTTGCTCCTGTCACTCATCTCCTGACCTGCCCCACCCCTCCAGGCATTGGACTTCTCACCACGATTTATTGCTGTAGAAAATGACAAGTGTCAGCAAGTGGAATAAAGGGTGGGGACAGGACAAAGGTGAGAAAGGTAGTTTCCAGGTGGGGATTCCAAGGAGACTGCAAGGGGAAAGGAGCATTTTGATGACTCTCCTTACTTTTATTTTCCTGGGTTGCTAGCAACAAGCAGTGTGCAGGTGAGATTCATTCATCCAACTCATATTCATTGAACAACTGCTCTGTCCCAGGCACTGTTGTCGGTGTGGAGGTATAGTAATGAGCAACACAGTCAGAATCCCTGCCTTTCTATTGATTTTACATTCTAGTGAGGGAGACATAATAAGTTTTCCAGTAGTGAAGTGTCCTAGGACAGTGGTCAGCAAACTGCGGCTCGCGAGCCACATGCGGCTCTTTGGCCCCTTGAGTGTGGCTCTTCCACAAAATACCACATGCGGGTGCGCATGTACAGTGCGATTGAAACTTCGTGGCCCATGCGCAGAAGTCGGTATTTTGTGGAAGAGCCACACTCAAGGGGCCAAAGAGCCGCATGTGGCTCGTGAGCCGCAGTTTGCCGACCACTGTCCTAGGAGGAAAGACAAAGGAGGAAGAGGGGCTAGAGCAGTGGTTCTCAACCTTCTGGCCCTTTAAATACAGTTCCAACCATAAAATTTTCGTTGCTACTTCATAACTGTAATGTTGCTACTGTTATGAATCGTAATGTAAATATCTGATATGCAGGGTGGTCTTAGGCGACCCCTGTGAAAGGGGTCGCGACCCACAGGTTGAGAACCGCTGGGCTAGAGAATGATGAAGAAAACCTTTTTGTGTAGGTTGGTTAGGAAAGGACCCACTGAAGTTGGGGCATAGGGAGAGAGCAAAGTGAAGGAAAAATAACGTGCAAGAGAGGGTAAAAGGCTCCCCTGGCAGAAGGCACAGCTTATGCAAATGTCCTGTGGCAGCAATGAGATTAGCATGTACCAAGAGCTGTAAGGAAGCCATGTGGCAGGGAGTAGGGTGGATGGTGAGATCAGAAAGGATGAGGAAATAGGGGTGCAGGTCATGGAGAGCCTCTTGGGCCATGGGAAGGGCAGTGTTTAGTGAAATGCAACACACAAATGGGAATAATAATAGTATCTACCTCTCAAGGTACTTGTGAACATTCAATAAATTCTCCATGCAAAGTGCTAGCATCGTTAATTTTATATATGTAGCTACTCTTGTTATTCTGTGTTCAATAAATATTTTTATGGAATGAACAAAATTAATGTCTAAGCTGTAGATTTAACAGCCCATTGTCAGGAAGACCATCTGTCTCTACATGATAGATGTTTTTTTGTTTTGAAACGTGAACTCTGCCTTCAAGTGACACAAGATTTATGCACCGAAGCCCTTGACATGAGCCAGCTTCTGTGGCAGTTTCTTCCATTTGTACCTCCGCCTCTCCCGATCCTCCCCGGCCCGACCCAGAAGAAAACTCCTCTCCCAGCGTTCCCGCACTGTAACGTTAATGTCCTCTGGTTGCCCTCCACAGATAAAACTGTGAAGCTGTGGAAAGTCAGCGAGCGCGATAAACGGCCAGAGGGTTACAACCTGAAAGATGAGGAGGGCCGGCTGCGGGATCCTGCCACCATCACAACCTTGCGGGTGAGTCCAAAGGCTGTTTTTTTGCCACTGTCTTGGTGCCTCCTCAGGTTGGCCACATGCTGGCTGCTGTGAATGTTGCAACTGTGATGTGAGAGGGAGGGAGATCCAGCAGAGACTCACCTACCCGAGACTCCGGTGGCAGATGGGGGAGCAGGACAGATGCCAAGCTCCACTGACCACAAGTCCATGCATTTCCTTGGTCCACGTGGCCAGTGCCATGTGTTACTGTATGCTTAGCCTCTGCCTGTTCTCATTACCTAAACATCTTGAGCATCTTTTGTACTCAAGATACAGGGGATGGGACTACCCAGAAGGGAAGCTGAAGACTCGATTCAAAACATGAACCTCCAGCCCAGCCTGTGTGGCTTAGGGATTGAGCATCGACTCATGAACCAGGAGGTCACAGTTCGATTCCCAGTCAGGGCACATGCCCCAGTTAAGGCTCAATCCCCAGTAGGGGGCATGCAGGAGGCAGCCAATCCATGATTCTCTCTCATCACTGATGTTCTATCTCTCCCTCTCCCTTCTTTTCTGAAAGCAATAAAAACCTATTTTAAAAATACAAAATAAAACACACATGAACGTCTGAATCTAACAAGACTGGGTTCCAATTCTGCCACTTACCAGAATCTCCAACGTTTTGAGCTTCAGTCACACAAGTGATTTTTAGTTTCTCCATCTGCAAGACAGTGAACCTAACCTTTACGGCCCATGGATTTATGAGGATAAAATGCAATGAGGGTGGGAAGCCCTGACTCCATGGCTGGGCCTCCATAAACGATCCCTACTATTCGTCTGAGTGGCTTCCTTCCTGCCCTCCAGAAATGCACAGTCTGGTAAGAAAAGAGGATTCATAGGCTAATACACAAATGGTTATGGCACTAAATAGAGGGAGATAAATGCAGTGTGAGTCGGAGGGAGTTGCCATTTGATCAAAGGAGGGGGAAATTACGTTGGTTCCGGGAGACCGGGAAAGGGCGCCGAGGGAAGTGGTGTTAAAAATAGATTTCTAAAAGTGGACTTTTAAGGGAAGGCTCTCCAGATCTAGGTTAAATTGGTTCAAGCCTGAGTCATGAGCTTAGTTTTAGATGTGTTCAATGTGAGCAGGAAAGCGAGCACATGTCAGGACCAGCCCTAGCCCCAAGGGACTTTTCAAACGTGTGAAATATGCGCTTCCAGCCAGCAGCTGCTCCGCTGTAGCCAAGCAGTGAGAACGGAGACGGTGAAGCACATCTGGGGAAGAGAGGTTGTCGCCCCGGGTTTAGGAGCAGAGATGGGAATTGAATGATGGCTGTGTATCTGATTAGCTCGCCCGTTTATTTGTTCGTTCATTTGTTCATCTGTTTATTGAGTGGGCGCTGTTTGAGCACAGACTCTTCGCTGGCCACAGTGCTGGGCGGTCTCACGTTAACTTAGTACTTACTGATGAGTACCTGGTCTTCATTTGAGCTCCTTCTGCGTTGGCTGCTCTGCCCCCTCTTGTCAGCCTGGGCGTTCAGCCTGGAGAGCTGCCAGCGAGCCCACCCCACCAGACTAGGCCATTGCTCTAAAGCAGTGGTTCTCAACCTTCCTAATGCCGCGACCCTTTAATACAGTTCCTCATGTTGTGGTGACCCCCAACCATAAAATTTTCGTTGCTACTTCATAACTATAATTTTGCTACTGTTATGAATCGTAATGTAAATATCTGATATGCTATATGTGTTTTCCGATGGTCTTAAGCGACCCCTGTGAAAGGGTCATTCGACCTCCAAAGGGGTCGCGACCCATGGGTTGAGAACCGCTGCAGTCTAAAGGCTGGGAGATTGGAGGGTAGAGCAACTAGGAATATGAAGGTTGGGTCCGTCTGTGCTGGCTTGGAACTGTGGTCCCATTGCTCTCCGTCTAGTGACCTTGGACACGACACCTAAACTCCTTGTGCCTCTAATGTCGCATCTGCGCAACAGGGATGATGGTGGTCACTGCTTCCTGGGCCAGTTGTGAGGTTTCGATGCTGCATGGCGTGTGATGAAGAGCGTAGCCGATGCCTCATCTCACAGAAAGTCGGTTCCCTGCTGCTGGTTTGCATTACTATCATCATTAGTATGACTGTTATTACTCCCTGCTGTTAGTAGGCCTCTGTGTCTGAGAAAAATTCATACTCATTTTTCTTGTCATGTATTTTTTTATCTTGTTGTATTTACAAACTGGTCACTGATGTCTGCTAAGCGGCGAGCGCTATGCAAGCCATACAAAAGGAATAAGATATAAGATAGCCTTTCAGCCCCCAGGACTTGACTATCCTGTAGGGAAACAGATGGATTAGGTGCCACTGGGAAATTTACAACATGAACTTCAGCCCATGTGTTCCCTTGCTCTTATTTGCTACATGGAGGGGATTTCTCATACTATGAATGCCTGTTGTCCCTGGCCTCCAATGGGATTTCCTATAGCTGTCATTTGCCCTGGAGATGCCATCCCATGATGAAGAGGAGAGAAGGCCTATCTGTAAGTGTCCACGAGAGCTGAGATTGTCCCCAAAGTAAGACAGTGATGCGGGGAAGTGGACTTATATGTATCCTACAAGGAAGGAGGCCCCGAGGTGGGGCCGAGTTAGAAAATCCCAATTCTGGTTCTTGCTTCCATATTAACCAGCTGGGTGATCCTGAGCCGATGAATCACATGTGCTCTCTCCAGGCTTACTTTCTGAGTGGCAGAGGACGGGACAGAGTCAGTGTTTCTGCCACCACAGTGTTTGTTACAAACACAGGTTCCCAGGACCCCGCCCCAGGGGTTCTCTTCAGCAAGTGGAGTGGTCCGAGGAGCCTGCATGAAGGATATGAGCCCCTGAGGGTGGGAACAAGGGGGCTGTGGTCACTGGGCTCTCTCATCTCTCGGCCTCCTTCCAGCTGTTGTTTTTGTGAGCCTCTGTTACTTTCCAATCATTGCAACAGATATTGTACCAGCTTGGGAGACACCTTTGCTATAAAATTGTAAATACTTGCATCTGATTTCACCTCCTCAACCTTCCTAGGCTTTCAAATATCCCATTTCTCGGTGTAAGTGTCCACACCCCAGCATCCTTTCCAGGCGAGTACTGACAAGGACAGCCTCCCTTCCTTCTTGCTCCCAGTGGTAGAGGAAGAAACAGCCAGGCTACCTGCAGACCCCAGATTCAGAACAATGACTCCAAACAGAGAATGGGCTGACGTGATATTAATCAGACGATGATTTACTAACATGCTCTGCGTTGAAATGTGCATTGCCAGCAGTTGTGGCTTTTTTTCTTCCCTGTGCTATGATTGCCTCCCGCTCCCTTTCAGAGTTTCCAGTTCTATGTGGATCTTGAGAGTGAGAATGTTTAATAATACCCGACAGCTAATTAATCCTCACTGAGTAATGAACCTGTTCTGTTTCAGTGCTGGGAGGCTCGGCTTTTCAAAGCAAGAATGTGGCTTTTTTTCCTTTTTTTTTTTTTTTCCTGGAAGGTAGCCTTTCAAATCCAATCCCTCATTACCCAGAGAGACTATGAGAAGCACTTGTATGAAAACAGTATCTCCTGCTAGTATCATAATATTCAAAGCAATAATCATGATAATTGAACAATTACACCTTACAGCTATAAGGTGCCATTTATATCACAAAGTATTTTCTTACCTCATCCCTAATTCAGCTTTGGAACAGCCACTGAGAAGGGCAGGACAGGTATTTGGCAGGTGAAAATGCTGACATCTAGTATTTATTGAGCATTTACTATATTCCCTGCACCATGCTGGACAGACACACTGTTTGCATTAGCTACCTCATGACGTGTAGTTCACTGTTAAAATGCCCATTGCACAGATGAGGCTCAGAGGAGTTAAGTAACATGCCCAGATCATGCACGGCTAAGAATTAAACCTTGATTGACTTGGCTCTGGGATCTGAGCCCTTAAACACGGTGCAGAATCAGAGAGACCGTGACTTGCCCAATGGCCATCGACTGGTTACTCGAGAGCTGGGACTAAAAGTCAAGAGCTCTGGCTGTTCAACTTGGACATATATCCGGCATTTGGAATGGTTTTCTTAAAATGAGTGCCATTATTATTCCAGGCCAGGGTGTCTCTTCCTTTCTCCCTCTCCCTCTCCCCTCCGCCCCCCTTGACTTTCCGGATCCCTGACAGCAGCGTGGACAAACAAAGGCCTTGAGGTCTTATGTAGAGGCACTGAGCAAGATCCTCTTCTTTCTCAGCCTCCCTTACCCAGAAGTAAGAGGCCCTTGGAGCTCTATCTAGGCCAGGAAGCTCGTAGTTCAAGTAATTGAATCAGCTGGGATGGGAGCTGGGTGGTGGGAAATCGCACTTGGCGCACTGAGCCTGGAGTTATGATTTCCTTCATTATGGTTGCCTGCCAGTGCCTTGGGAACCTAGGCCAGGTTGAAATTTGCTTTTAATCAGTTATAAGTGTAGAGTCCAGAAGGTGTGAGCTCCCAAGCTGTGATGTGTCATAACCTCCCCTCAAATGAAGGGGATGTAATGAGCTCACGTTCTCATATATTTTATCCAGACGTTCCTTACAGCTGCTAATAATAATTATTATAACAGCCACATTTATGGAGTGCTTGCTATATGCCAGGTGCTGGGTTTTCTATCCTTACATCGTTTCATCCTACCAATAACTCTCCCAGGTAGGTCTGTTATTCTTTCTGGATCGTCCTAGATTTTACTCCCTCATTTCATTTAAATCTCTGCTCAAGTGCCATCCTTCTCAGAGAAACTCTCCTGGAATGCCCAAGAGAAAAGAGCCTGCTGGCCCTGGCCGGGTAGCTCAGTTGGTTAGAGCCTTGTCCCAATACACCACGGTTGTGGGTTCAATCCTCAGTCAGGGTACATACAAGAAGCAGCCAATGAATGCCTAAATAAATGGAACAACATCTCTCTCTCTCTCTCTCTCTCTCTCTCTCTCTCTCTCCCTCTCTCCCTCTCTCTCTCTCTCTCTCCCTCTCCCCCCCCACCTCTTATCAGTCTTCCCATTCATTCTCG